TAAAAGTCGAATTATAGGTAGGTAAGTGTCGGATCAGAACCCTACTTGACCTTCTGTGTCACCTCTTATGCTCTGTGTCACCTTTTGGGACGTATCCGAGAAAGTACAAAGTGAAGTGTGCCATTTAGGTTCGAAACCCCGAGGGGGTAGCTGTATCAACCCCAGGCCGACCCCCATGCAAAATTTGGGGGCCCTGGGGCATTAGAAGGGGGCGTATTTTCAAAAAGGTTACATAGAGAAAAAGGGGTGTTGGCCGGGGGTAGAAGCGGGCCCTAGAGGTTTAGGGAGGGGTTGCCTACTCCCCACGGTTGCCCTAGACACTGGACCTAACCTCCGTAAACCGGGGAAATCGACAAAAATGTTTGGTTAACATCCACTTAGATCATAAGGTCCGGTAGGACTCTGATCCGACAGTGAGGTACCTATAATTCCACATGTACGAGAGAACTTGAAGGAAATCGGAACCATTTTTGGTGGGCACCCGCCCACGGACCTCCACTGGCCGCCCACCAAATTTCGTGGACCTCTTGCCCATAGGGGCGGAGTTATGGGCGTTTTCTAGGGGGAGTCAATTTTTCAGCAGGATTATCGCTACGCCCGGGCCTTCCAGAAGGCCGATCAACGCCCAATTTACAGGGCAGGTACATCACCCCATCGCCCATCTGTCACCCAAATTTGGGATCCCTGGGACCACTGGGGGCTGAGTACTGGCCCCTTTTCGGAGCCAAATTCGTCTAATTTTGGCTAAAAAAACAAATACGCGTGCCCGTTTGCTCACAACATCCGTACCTTCGTGGGTTTCGACTTGAAATTAGGACAGTGCGCAGCCTGCCAAATCATTCATTTCCGGTTCCGACTTCCCTAAGGCGAGGGGTGGCCATTTTCCCGAGGTTACCCAAGTGAGAAAAAAAATAATCGAAAACTCGTAGAATGGGGGGGGGGGCAAAATAGCTAAGAGTTTATACCATTTTTAAAGGAATTATTAAGGATATTCAAGTGAAAATGGCGACTTTAGAAATATCGGTCAAGTGTTCACCTGTATTAACCCTAAGTTCACCCCTTCAATCGGTACCAAATTGTAGGGACAGGTACCCAACTCTAGCGCCCATATTGCACCCAAATTTGGAGCCCATCGTTCCCATAGGGGCTGCGTACGGGCCCTTTTCAACAGCAAAATCTTCAAAAAAACGGCAAAAAATTGAAATTTTACGCGCGCGCATGCGTGTCACATCCCTACTTTCGTGCACACCAACTTGAAACTCAGCGGGTACCTGGCCTATGGTCCCAAGCACAATTCCAAAAAAGAAATTTGAATTGCAAAAAAGTGCACAACTGAGCCCCACAGCCTTGGGCCCTTCTAGTCATCCTACCTCCTTGAAATTTATATATGTTCTCCCTCAATACGTGCAGAGGTAACTCTCCAAATTTCAGGCTCATTGGATTAATATTAAAGATTTTAGACCATATATTCCTGGTGTATAAAGCCGTCATTCAGCAAAACCATCGAAATACCCCGAACTGAGCCTTCCCTGAAACTCTTAATTTTTGAGTGATCAGGCTGAAATTAGGACACCACCTTCCTAAATATAGTATGATGGTGCTGTACAAATTTCAGGCTCATTGCATTAATATTTAAAGATTTTAGACCATATATTCCTGGTGTATAAAGCCATCATACGACACGCTCAGCAAAACCATTGAAATACCACAGGAATATATGGCCTAAAATCTTTAATATTAATCCAATGAAGACATGGAAGACATGTAGAATGATTCTCTGAAAATTTCAGCTTCATCACTGCAATATTTCCAACAAAGACCAGGGTTCATGCATGCGCATAGTGCGAAAAGAGACGGAATTGCAAAAAAGGGCACAACTGGGCCCCACAGCTTTTGGCCCTTCTAGTCATCCTACCTTCTTTAAATTTATATATGTTCTCCGTCAATACCTGAAGAGGTAACTTTTCAAATTTCAGGCTCATTGGATTAATATTAAAGATTTTAGACCATATATTCCTGGTGTATAAAGCCGTCATTCAGCAAAACCATCGAAATACCCCAAACTGGGCCTTCCCTGAAACTCTTAATTTTTAAGTGATCAGGCTGAAATTGGGACACAACCTTCCTAAATATAGTATGATGGTGCTGTACAAATTTCAGGCTCATTGGATTAATATTAAAGATTTTAGACCATATATTCCTGGTGTATAAAGCCGTCATACGACACGTTTAGCAAAATCATCGAAATACCACAGGAATATATGGCCTAAAATCTTTAATATTAATCCAATGAGCCTGAAATTTGCACAGCCACCTTGTAATGTAAATGGGGCGATTCTCTGCAAATTTCAGCTTGATTGCACAAAAATTAAGGAAAAGGGTCAGGATTGAGGTGTCGCAGAGAAATGGCAAAAATTCAGGGGGCCACAGCAGATCAAGGTCACGACTTTTTGTTGGCGATTTTAAAAAATGAAGAACAAATGTGGGGTCAATCTATCAGGTCACCGAGTCCCGAACCGATGGGATGACCTTGACCCGATCGGCAAAAATAAAACATATTTCCGGGGGACACAGCGGATCCAAGTCACGACTTTTTGTTGCCGATTTTAAAAAATGAAGAACAAATGTGGGGTCAATCTATCAGGTCACCCAGTTCTGAACCGATCGGATGACCTTGACCCACGCCCACCTGTCATGACCTTGGGACCACGAGTGAGCCCCGTGACCGGCCTTTCGTAACCTGACCTTGAATCGGACCTTGACCTTTCTGGCTACGGTCCAGAAGGGACATGAACATTTGTGTCTGCGCGGTGACCTTTAGCCTTTGAGATGACCTAGACCCACCAAGGTCATGCAGGGCTGGAGGTCATGCTCAAAGGTCAAGGTCCGGTTGGCGTGACCTCATCCGGGGGCTCGCTAGGTGGGGGCAAAAATAAAACATATTTCCGGGGGATCCAGCTGTGGTCTAAAGGGGAGATAACTTGATGTCCAAATCTCAACCGACGACCTTGAGGTCGCGGCCTTTAAAACTAAATCGACCCCTGGGAGTCGCGTGGTGACCTTGGTTTGACCCTTAAAGGTCAAGGTCAAATGACCATCAATAATGTTTTTGACCCACTTCCGGTTGCCGGAAGTCCATTTTGATGTGACCGGGGGACTTTTCGGGATGGATATACTTCACAAATACCCAACCTGGGACCTCGCCCACGATCACTTCGGGGCGTTTACAGACGAGGGGTCGTGTCTGGGGATCGGATTTTTTCAAAGTCCGGGATTTTGAATCCGACTTTTTACCTATGTTGCCGTCAGGGGCGTGATATGTCAGCCAAGGTCATGAACTTTACCCCTATGACAGCCCCGTCATCGGTCTTGTGGGTCGCGACCTTGACCTTGGCATTTCTGGCGAATGTCTGTATGGTACATAAACTTTTGGGAATTTTTCGACCCCAAGGTCAAATGTCAGATCAAAGGTCAAGGTCAATAATAAAAGGTCATTGATGTGTCCATCCAAGGTCATGACATTTGACATGTCACGTGGCCGTGGGATCCAAACAGAGGCCCCGGAGCATGCAAGATGGTAGATATATTGGTGACTTTGACCCTTTCAGATGACCTTGACCTATCGGGGTCATGCGGGCCCCGATGTTAGGTCGAAAGGTCAAGGTCCGATGGTTCTCACTTAATCAGTTTGGCCCCTAGGGGGGCAAAAACCGAAATATTTGTGGGGCCCCTAGCGGGTCAAGGTCACGACTTGTGGTTGGCGATTTTAAAAAATGAAGAACAAATGTGGGGTCGATCTATCAGGTGAACAAATCCCGGGCCGATCGAAAGACATTTTTCCGACAAAATTCCCCCAAAAGTCAACTAGCTAAGATTTTAATGCTGTGGTCAAAGGGGAGATAACTCGCTCATCCCGAAACGGATCCGACGACCTTGAGGTCGCGGCCACTTATACAAAATCGACCCCTGGGAGTCGCGTGGTGACCTTGGTTTGACCCTCAGATGTCAAGGTCAAGGTCAAATGACACTTGTGTGTCATTTTGACACATTTCCAGTCGCGGCAGAAAAATTCAAGGAAACGCGGAAGGGTCGATTTATGGGGGGGGTAGCCGCGAGGACTAATTCTGAGGAAGATCTGAAATAATTAGAATAAAATAATGATAAAAGGACTGTCCGTCTGATTTAATAACCATATCATGTGCTTAATCTTGCTCAAGTGTTGCCACTCTTGTGGGGACTTGGTATGGTTGGAAATGTATTGAGTCCATATCTCCATTTTGATTGAATCTAGCACGCTGAAACTTGCACAGCCATCTTGTAATATATTTATGATGATTATCTCACAATTTCAGCTTCCTAGCGTCAAAATTAAGCAAAAGGGCCAGGGTGTCAGGTCCATCCCATTCAATAACCATGTGTTGTGCTTAATCTTGCTCAAGTATGGCACTTTTGTGGGGACTTGGTATGCTTCGAAATGTATTGAGTCCATACCTCCATTTTGATTGAATCTAGCAAGCTGAAACTGGCACAGCCATCTTGTAATATATTTATGATGATTATCTCACAATTTCAGCTTCATAGCTTCAAAATTAAGCAAAAAGGTCAGGGTGTCCGGTTCATCTCTTTCAATAACCATGTCATGTGCTTAATCTTGCAAGTATTGCCACTTCTGTGGGGACTTGGTATGCTACGAAGTTGTTGATTGGTCAATATTTAAAGACACTGTAAGGCTCATTCTGATTGGATATCACTCACACCCAATCAAGTATAAGGTGGAGTGCAATGTGCTTTGTAAATTGTGTGTAGGAGTGTCTAAAAATACCGATGTTTGCTCACATGTGGGGACATGCCAAAATTTGCACAAAAACTACAATTGACAACATTGTGAGCACCTGGGCAAAAAAACATTGTGGGGACTTGATTTTTATAGTTAGTTGATCTCGTGCTAAATCACTTCATGTCAAAAATGTAAATTAAACTTGTCCCATCCTTTGTTTCAGAAATTATGAGGATGATTTTGAAGGTGACGATGATGATGAATATTTGGACCAGGGTTTGATTCATGTGGATGATGCAGACAATCGCAAGACAAATCCTCGCGGAAAATCTTCTACCACAGACGATATTTATGACTTCAGTACTAAAAACTTGGGCTATTGAATTGTGTTTTACTATATTATTATTGTTGCCATGATTATTGTTACTCGGTATGTCAATGTTGCCATGAACACAAATAATTTTTGCATCAAGTAAGAATAAGTAATTGAATTCTGTGCTCTCCATGATGAAATTTCCAGGATCTGAATATTGTTAACTATTGGTGATGATAATATATTACAATAAATTAATGCTACCATTTTAAAGTGCAAAAATATAACGACCCATAAATGTGTTGAATTCATGCTACATGTACATTTTGTTGTAAACAGAAAATATATTAATCATATGAAAGTAGCAATATTTTTATTAAGTTATCAAACAAATCACTTCTAATCTTTACATGCAATTAATACACACTATATTACAACTATCTATAGCTCACTGTATGGTACAATAATCAACGTTTCTTAAATTAGTTGGCTACCCAAAGAGCGTACAGTAAGCAAAGTTATCAATAGCTAAGAATTAAGATAGTTGCTTGTAACAAAATGATTAGTAAATTTAACAAATAGTTTGATTGTGTCAGATGAATGAAGTCATATTATTCTGGCTAGCCGAACGTGGAGACACACTAGGTGAATCCTTCGCCCAATTCACCAGTCGATTGCATCACCTTTCACGTCACATGATTAAACATGGCAGCAACCATGTCTTCAAACAATCATGTGAATTTAATGTTAATCCGCATTTGATGGTAAATTCAGCTCTTCTTGGCAAAACATAATGTTAATACTATCTAAGTTATTGTTAATGAATTATAGAGAATGAAATTTGTTTTACTATAATGGTAAAGTGTGAAATTTAGACCACACAAATAAAAGGAATAGGTTCTCAGGCACCACCTGCTCGTGACAAATTGAGCTCAGGGATGATTTTTTATCATGCAACTAAACAAAAAGATACTGCGTGAAATTATCTTGGCAGAATGTACATATGTGATTAAAGTATTATTAAGTGATAAAACAAACTTTACATTTAATAAAATCCCTCTTAAATTGACATTAAAATAGTCATTTCCCTTGTATGCATTTGTAGCATTTTCTAACTTGTTTATATACATGTATAGGATTTATCTGCCACTTTGACTTGGTTATCCAACTCAAAGGAACAGTACAGTATTATTATCCAAAACTGACAGATTTCTTCTATTATTACAATATCAGTGAGTTCATTCTACAAAAAAAATTATAGTATCAGTGGTTATAGGGGGGTGGGGGTATATGGAACGGATGAACGGTGATATATTGCAATAATTGTTATCAATCTAAAAAGAAAAGTGAAAGTACAGGGCATGTCAATACATCTTAAACAGAATTTTTACAATGCTGTTGGTACCTGAAGCAATTTTTTAAATGGCAATTCAATATCTGATTATAACGCTTTTTAAAATTCTCTGAATATGTTGCCCATATTTTGGATTTAGATCTGGGAATGGATATATTTTTATACACCCACATTTTCATGAGGATGTATCGTTGCCCCTGTCCATCCACAATTTTTGGACACTCTGCGGATCATAATTCCTATTTGATTTTGACAAAACTTAAAATATAGGTTTATCTCCAAAAGATCTCAGTTCCTTTCAATATTGGCATTTATCGGATCGAAACTTCATTGATTATAGCCCCTGATTGTATGAAAAATCATGTTTTTTAGCTTGTGGACACACTAGAGGTCACAATTTTTATCCAATTTAGATGAAACTTGAAATGTAAGTTTATAACCCAAGATTTCGGTTCCTTTCAATATTTGCACATATCGGACCACTACTTCCTGGATTATGGCCCCTGATTGAACGATAAATCGCATTTTTAGCTTGTGATCCTTCTAGAGGTCACAATTATTATCTGATTTAAAAAATATATATGACCATTATATCGTAATGTCGGTTGAGTTTGAATTTCATGTAAATCAGACCAAAACTGGCTGACAAAATGGACGCCCAAAATATAGTACATGTATATCAAGGTTGTGGACCCCCTAGAGGTCACAATTTTGATCCGATTTTGATGAAACTTGAAATACATGTTTATAACCCAAAGATCTTGGTTCCTTTCGATATCCACGCATATCGGATCGTCAATTCATGAATGATGGCCCTTTATTGTATGAAAAATTGCCTTTATTGTTCTCTATCCATCTCTTGCAAAATGTGGGCATTCTTGCCTGGCAGCCGCTGGTTATCTGATTTTTAAAAAAAACAACTTTTAAATATATCACCGTTACACCCTTATGATGGTAGCGTTTGAATTTTGTGAAAATATCGGACAAGTTGCCTGACAAAATGGCCGCTCCTTGTAGTGTAAATACCAAGGTTGTGGAGTGTGGACTCTCTAGAATTCACAATTTTTATCAGATAAATAAAGAGCTGGCAGTTCTTGGTATAATAGTTAAAAACTAGATAATATAAAGGGAATTTGCTGAAAATTTCAGTCAAATTGATCCACTCTGCTGAGATTTTAGCGATTGAATTTTCGACCTAGCCTCAATCATCATTACTGAAGTCGGTACGATAAAAAACATAGTCTCGATTATCCATTTCATGATTAAATTATGCATGGAAGTCGAACAGGAAATCGGAACCTAATCCAATAAACATTGCAGGCTAGCGATGACATCGATGGTTGATTATGATCTGGATAAGTTCATTAATTTCTAATTAATAATTTAGATAACATTTCAGGCCTAAAGAAAGACCTGCAATAGGCAGATTTAGCTCTTGCATAATGTATGTTTAAAATATCTCGGTTCCTTTCGCTATACGCGCATATCAGACCGTAACTTCCGGGAATAAGGCCGCTGATGGTATGAAAAATCGCAGTTGTAGCGTGTGGACCCTCTAGAGGTCACAATTTTTATCTGATTTTAAAAACTGTTTATATATATCACTGTTACACCATAATGGCCGCTCCTTGTACGCATATAGTGTAAAAGTATGTAATACTAAGATTGTGGACCCTCTAGAGATCACAATTGTTATCGGATTTGGATGAAACTTAAAATATATGTTTATATCCCGAAGATCTTGGTTCCTGTTGATATTCACGCATATCTGTCCATAACTTCCTGGATTATGGCCCTTGATTGTACTTGGTGTATAGTTTCACATCAGTGCCTTGACTAAGTTAAATAATGGGCATTTCCGACTAAGTATAGATAATCAGTTTGATTGCTCGATACTTTTGGAAAAGATAAATGTGCAAATAATTAATGTGTCACAGGGATGTCACTAACTTTTCAAGTAACAGGAAATTTTGCTAAAGTAAGGGGCAGCAAATGTTGAGGGTGGCAGGCCCAAATCTGCGTGCAAACCAGGTGCCGGAAGCATGAAGTTTCAATTATCATGACATCAAAAACGAAGACTATGACATATATATCTAAGAGAAAGTCCTAATTATTAATGGGGTATATGGTTTACCGTTATTATAAGATTTGCTGACTCCATATAATTATAAAGAGATTTATAACTGATGCCGACTGGTTCAATGTTGCAGGATATAAAATGTTGCAAAATTTTCAATTCATATCATGTCTTTGGACTGATATTCTTTTTAGACATTCAACTTTCATAATATACAAATGTCCAAAATAAACTCTATTACTCTCAATACACTATTTCACTGTCAATACCCCTTTAATTCGTACATGCGCGTGTTATCACATAAACAAAATTTTAGTTTCGTCACTTTCTTGCCCAATCGCTGTTACACCTACAGACAAAACTATAAAACTTGGGGACAGCTATTATCTTTCTATTTATACTCTATGTCGTACAGCAGTCGAGTCTTAGATTTTCGAGTTGCTTTCCTATTTCCTTGCAGTGTGAGATTTCCACGTCTTGCTACCACAGGTTTGGGATCCGCCATTTACTTTTTATACGTCCACATTCATAATGTGAACGTATTATGCCGTCGCCCCTGTCTGTGTGTGTGTGTGTGTGTATGTATGTATGTGTGTGTGTGTGTGTGTGTGTGTGTGTGTGTGTGTCTGTGGTTCGCCTACAGGGCGCAATTCTTCATGGATTTTCTTCAAACTTGGTATACTTATTCCTTATACCCCAAGGAAGATCCCTATTGTTTTTGGTGCATGCCCGACCCCCCGGGGCAGAGCCACGCCCATTTCTAGTATTTGTTTGTTTGTCGTCTACAGGCCACATTTCTTAACTAATAATCTTGAAACTTTGCATACACATTCTTTGTACCCTAAGGAACATCCCTATCGTTTGGGGTGCATGCCCAACCCCCAGGGGCAGAGCCACGCCCATTTTCTTTTCGTGTGTCTTTGTGTCGCCTACAGGGCGCAATTCTTACTGGATTTTCTTCAAACTTGGTATACTTATTCCTTATACCCCAAGGAAGATCCCTATTGTTTTTGGTGCATGCCCGACCCCCAGGGGCAGAGCCACGCCCATTTCTAGTATTTGTTTGTTTGTCGTCTACAGGCCACATTTCTTAACTTATAATCTTGCATACACATTCTTTGTACCCTAAGGAACATCCCTATCGTTTGGGGTACATGCCCAACCCCCAGGGGCAAAGCCACGCCCATTTTCTTTTTTTTATGTCTGTGTGTCGCCTACAGGCCACAATTCTTAATCAATCGTCTTGAAATTTTTTCATATGAATTGCTTATACCCTAACGATGATCCCTATTGTTTTTTTACCCCCCAGGGGCAGAGCCCCGCCCATTTTCTTTTCTTTGTATGTCTGTGTATCACCTACAGGCCACAATTCTTAATCAATCGTCTTGAAAATTTTTCATATGAATTGCTTATACCCTAACGATGATCCCTATTGTTTTTGGTGCATGCCCAACCGCCAGGGGCAGAGCCACGCCCATTCCTTATATTTATTTATTTGTCATCTACAGATCGCATTTCTTATTGTATCACCTTGAAACTTAGCATACATATTCCTTCTATCCTAAGGAACATCCCTATTATTTGTCGTGAATATCCAACTCCCAGGGGCAGAGCTTTGCCTATTTTCTTTTTTTATGTCTGTGTGTCACTTGCAGACCGCATTTCTTAATCGATCATCTTGAAAACTTTTTTATACTTATTCCTTATAGCCTAAGGCTACTTTTTTATACTTATTCCTTAATCTTAAGGCTGACCTCTATTATTATTTTTGGTGCATGCTCAACCCCTTGGGACAGAGCCACGCCTAATGTTTGTGTGTCTTGTGTTTTGCCTACAGGCCGCAATTCTTAACAGATCCTTTTGAAACTTTGCATACCTATTCAAAACGTCGTGCTTTTAGAATAAAGACATTGACATTGTTTTAAAATAAAAATTGTGTTCTGTTAATGTGAACGAAATGTTAAACTGATAGCAGTCCTACAACCCAGTTTTATTTTACAGACCCTCAATGCAAACTGGACCATATCAAACAAAACAGGAATGTGGACGTATATTGCTGCGTTAGCGAAGCTCTTGTTCAATCTTGAAAATGACCCTTCTTATCTTTAGACGAGTGATGCGAATAATCGTTAAACTGGCAATGCTTAGCGGAACATTTTATCGATATGCAAAGGTTTCATTTACATCACCATACATATAATTATGTCGTATTCCCTTTAGTAGTAACACATTTCGTCGTTGTATACATGTAAACAATGTTTCGTAGGTAGCTTTCGCCTCCGAATATCTGGTATGTCCTTGACATGAGGAAAGTGTTAATTTTAAATACAAATGTTTAATTTTTTAATTTAAACAACTGCGGAATACGATTAATTCATATCAAAATACAAATGAGGTGTCATTTACGGCATTTGATAACATTAAGAAATTAAGTCATACATGAACTCATTGATGCGAGCAACATTTCCTTTGAGAGGTAATTCAACACAGAAAGGTAAATAAAAATGCAGTAAATACTTTTTGTCTTATACTATCACAATTATCCTTACATCAGGTGGTAAATCGTAATATTATAAACTATTGCGCTTCATTTGCAAGAACTGTCA